TACTTACTTACTTATATATATATATATATATATATATATATATATACTTTTCTCTAAAAACAGCCTATTTATACAATTAATAAGATGTTAATAAGATATTGTCATTAACACGTACATTGGGATACGTAAATATGTAAATAAATAACAAAAACTTACCGCATTTTGTTGTTGCGCGACATGCTGTGAGATATCGACAGAATGATTACATTCATCCAGAATGTCAGACATTTCGAATAAAGATGAACGAAGTAATGTATGTAACGTGTTTTATAATTCGTATTTTAAAAGAGTACTAAATATGTGATATATTTAAATTGTATATTCACAGAAAATATATAAATTTTTGTGAATTTAAGCTACTGCCCGGAAATACGTCTAGTAAACTTGAGTTATCGATTTAATACGCATACAGTTGGACGAATCGTTTCATTCTCTTGAAGAGATGATTTAAATTAACCTAGTGTATTGTCTTTCTGCCAAAAAAATTTCTCTTTAATGAGAAATACTTGTAAGTGACTAAGTTCATATATTTAGACATATCTATTATTTATTAAATATCTAGTTTTTAATATAAAAATAAATATTTATATTAAAATATAAAAATATTATCTCATTACGTAATAATCAATGTGTCCTTTTAAAATAGAATAATGATTCGATTAAATGTTTATTAAAATATTATCATGTTATTCGTATATATAAGTATTTTGTAATACTGTAATTTGCATACAAAAATATTGATGACCTGGTGTTATCCTATCAAAGTTGGATACGCACGAAAATATTCCATCTCTTTGCCAATACTCAGATTATAAATTCGAGCAATTTAATTATATTATTATTTAATACAAAATTTTCTTATTTGGATGTATATTTAAAAAATTGAAAACAGAAAATCCAAAGTAATTTTAAATCCAAAGTAATTTTCTATAATCAATAATTATAATACTCAAGCAATACACGATTATTACGATTATATGAAGAGATGATATCATTTTGATTGAAACTGTATCATCTTTCAATCAAAATTTACAAATTACATTATATATTATTTTGATTTTATCGCGACAATCGCGTGTTATTTAGGTATAATTAAATACAAGATAATTTGATAAAGAGTTAACAAGCTATTTATACGATATTCTAAAAATAGATCAAAAAGTTCTATATTTAGCGGAATTTTGAGAAGAAATAGAATATGTAGTGTCACCTCTGTCACTGAGAAATAATATGATTATTCTAATAAATCGCACGATTTAATCATTAGATAGATGTTGTAGACAAACATAAAGAATTATAAAATAACAAAAAAATTTTTTTTAGAATTAGAAAGTATTGATCATGACCAATTGCAAATAAAGTATACAAAAAAAAAGATAAAAATATCAACATTGAAATAATGAATATTTGCGATATATTAGCGATGCTTATAAATATTTATATGTTATTATAAATATTTAGTATTCAAATTTTCATGTTTGTTACATTAATATATAATATACTGATATCATAATATAATATTATCTAGTCTTTAGATTCAGTCAATCGAAATATTCGAAAGGGATAGACAGACAAAGTTGATGTTCAATGTAATCTTATCATATGCTCCAGAAATAATCTTTCAACGAATGGTCATGTGGTAGTCTCTATAAACACCGTGCCAAGTCATTTAGCCACCAACCGTTGTCGAGTGTAGACATCACAAAGAAGAGAATGGCAAAGCAAGTGCAAATTAAATATACTCAAGTAAGTTTATATTTTACATTGTTTTATAGAATCAGCACGAATTACTGATACTTAAATAAAAAATTTAATTGAAACAATCCTTACATTATACATGTATGCATCCTTTTTAATATTTATTTAAAAACAATATCAACTTTAAAATTAAATTGATTTCAAATAATTACAAAAGCATGTGCGAATTTGATAAAAATATCTTAAATTTTATTTAAAATTAAAAAATAATTATAAAAAAGGAAAAATAAAACCGAAAATATTTTTAAATTTACCGACATTTCAATTCCTTGTCATGATTTTTTAACTTAGCACTTTTTAAGTTAGCATGTTATTCTTATCTCATCATATCAAATTTTTTTATAGCTATTCATTGACAATGAATTTGTGGATGCTGTAAGTGGTCGTAAATTTCCCACAATAAATCCTTCCGATGGTACAGTTATCGCTGAAATCTCTGAAGGGGATAAGGTAATATTTTTTATAGATCATTGTATCTAGAATATAATTGCACTAAAAAAATTATAGATGAGAATTCAAAATTATCGAAAAATCAATATAAAAGTTTTGTTTGCTTTAAATAAAAAAAAAGTTAAATGAAAAAAGAAAGAATTACATAAACTTAAATTTTTTATTATATTAAAAGAAAATTTCTGCATTTGAAAATTTATTAAATTCCTCTGTGTTTCCTATAATTTAGACAAAGGATTTGGAACTTAGATGAATTGAAATAAATAAAAAATTTATATAATTTAATAATTTGGAAAATTAAACTGGAAAAAATTGAAAATGATTCTCAATTTTGTTAAGCACAAATAATTTGCACAAATAATTTGCTATCTGTGGAGTCAGAGTAATAAAGAATTATCTTATCATATTTGCGTTCTACTATCTATTTGATATTTTTATATGTAGAAAACATATATAATATTTACGTGTAAATGTATGTAATATTACGATATGTTTTTAGACACATAATAATATATGTCAATTTTTTTATATAATCATTTTTTTATATGACACAATTGTGCACTCCATAAATACTGAATTTGTTTGCTTCACTTAATAGATACAAAGATGGAAAACGTATTCGGTAAATAGAATGCTTGAAACATCTTTCAGAATAAAAAAATCGTATCGTAATCCTTTACACTTCATATACCATGAATATAAGAATATATATAACTTAAACTGAAACCAATGAAATTGTTTTAGCTCTAACAAGGTTAATTGCTTCGAACTATGGATTAAGCATGTTTTAGTTAAGCATTTTAGTATTTTTATTCGTAAATATTACAAGTCTTCTAAACTTTAAATTCTTTTTTGAGTTTCCCGTATAAAAACATATGAAAAATTATAGAAAACTTTAATAGAAAGAATGTCTTGAACATCAATTGCGTATAATCAATACACTTAATGTTAAAAATTAATAAGTTCCTACATATTAGGTTATTAAATTATGTGTATTATAAAATAATAAGAGAAACTTATTTTACATAAGAAATTAATTGGCTAATTTAAAGAAAAAAATATGTTTTTAGGCTGATGTTGATAAAGCAGTAGAAGCTGCTAAACGAGCTTTTGATAGAAATTCGAAATGGCGTACTATGCATCCATACGTCCGTGGACAACTTATGCACAAAGTAAAATTTTATTGCATTAAACTTTTAATATCTAATAAATATTAATGCGCAATAAATAAATATAAATCAATAAAATAGTTTGCAGATCTCGTTAAGCGCGATTTAGATTATATTGCTACACTCGAAACTCTTGATAATGGAAAAACATATGCAAGTGCTGTTGAAGATATAGAAGCAAGTATCGCTACTCTTCATTATTATGCAGGCTGGTGTGATAAGATACTTGGAACTACTATTCCAACAGGTGTCTATTTTGAAGTTATCGTCACTTTTAGATAATTATATAAGCATGTGATTATATTTATAATATAATTTTGATTTTGATCTGCAATATATCTTTTTATATAAATATCAAAAATTTTATTAATTAAATATAAGTTAAATAGATAATAATGCAACAAATTATGCTTTATTTAAATTTCGCGCATCAATTATTTTTCACTGTAAAGATATAATATGAAATACGATTGAATAACGATTCGTAATTCTATTTATTATTCGACTAGGCGACACCAATGTTACATTAACACGAAAAGAGCCAGTTGGCGTTGTGGGACAAATTATCCCTTGGAATTATCCCTTCTTGATGCTAGTTTGGAAATGGGGTCCTGCATTGGCTACTGGATGCACTTTGATCTTAAAGCCAGCGGAACAAACACCTTTGACTGCTCTTTACGCAGCAGCGCTGGCTAAGGAGGCAGGATTTCCAGCGGGTGTCGTAAATGTCATTCCAGGTTACGGTTCAACTGCTGGCGCAGCTATTGCTGAACATCCAGAAATTCGTAAAGTTGCTTTTACTGGATCCACAGAGGTATTTACATATATTTTTGCAATGTATATTATTATAAAAAAGATATGACATTATGATATAAATTAGACATTATGATATAAATTATATCATATATATTTCTTTTCTAGGTTGGACATGCTATAATGGTAGCTGCTGGTAAAAGTAATCTTAAGCGTGTCAGTCTTGAATTAGGTGGCAAGAGCCCACTTGTTGTTTTCGATGATGTTGATGGTATGTTATTGTGAGAATAGTTTGGCATTTTAAAGTATATTTTATTAATATTTTGATAATTATTTTTATTTATATCACCATCTATTTACAGTGAAAGAAGCTGCGAAAATTGCATCTAATGCGATATTTGCCAATCATGGACAAAATTGTTGCGCAGGATCACGAACATTCGTACATTCTAAGATATATGATGAATTCGTAAAGCATGCTAAACAGTTGGCGCTTGATAGGAAAGTGGGAGATCCATTCGACTCTAAAACAGATCAGGGTCCACAGATTGATCAAGAGATGTTCGACAAAGTTATTGGATTAATCAATTCGGGTAAACAGCAAGGCGCTGTTGTGGAAGCTGGTGGAAATCGCAAGGGTGATATTGGCTATTTTGTACAGCCTACAGTTTTCTCAAATGTAACCGATGACATGAGAATTGCCAAAGAAGAAATTTTCGGCCCGGTTCAAACAATTTTGAAATTTGATACTATGGATGAAGTAATCGAACGTGCCAATAGCACTAACTATGGTCTGGCTTCCGGTGTAATTACTAAAGATATTAATAAAGCTTTAGAATTTGCTCAAGCTGTAGAAGCGGGTAGTGTTTGGTATGCAGACAGAATATATATGATAATACTTTCTAATATATATTATTAGTAATAATTATTTCTATCAATAATTTTTAGGGTAAATTGTTATGATGCTATTACACCCCAAACACCATTTGGTGGATTCAAACAATCTGGTATAGGACGTGAATTGTAAGTAATAATTGATTAAACTGGACTGATCTAAATAGTATGTTGTTGAATTTATAACTTCTTTTTTAGGGGAGAAGAAGGCTTGAAAGAATATCTCGAGATCAAAACAGTTTCTATCAGTATCACAAGAGGAAATTAATATACAAGTTGCCTGAAATACAATTTTTTAATTATCATTTTACTTTTCTTATAATTATCTTAAATAAAACTTTTATAACAGAATATTAATGAAACGACATATGCAATTTATTATTCATGATGTAAAATTAGGAAATTGTTTTAAAAAAACATATTATATATAAATATTTACACATATCTTAGTTATATATAAAAAATTATGTGATTACATATGGTTATAAATAAGGACAAAAAAATAGTTATGTTTTAAAGCTTTAGATATAATTTTTTTATTCTACCATTTGAATATTAAAATTTGGAAATTCTTATTTTGATATAATGATAAATATATTTTTTACCTTCACATAACATTGTTGTAGAATTATCTATAATGTACGAACTGCAGGTTCAGAATAATCATCAGGAGGTATTCCTAATTCTTCATCTGTCCATTGGGATGGATCTGGATATGGAAATTCTCCCTAAACAAAAACATTTTTCATATTAGGATTTATGATATTAGATTATGATATTAGAAATAAATAAAAATCTGGAAAAAGGATATTTATTTTGACTCGCGGCATTACATAGTAAATTATATATTGTTGGAAAGATGTGTCCTAGTAGAATACAAATATCGAGTAAGTCCAAACTTAATATTTTTGATATAAATACCATTTCTGGTCCTCCAAAATTCACTACTAGAGATGCCCATAGACGCATGGAAAACATACAATACATATACAATCATACATATATAACATATACATATATAATATATACATAATAATATGTATATCATGTGTATGTGTGTGTTATATTATATGTATGTATATCATTATATACATATATAATTGACGAATTCGAGGGAACTCAGGATGAAGCAAAACAATCTGAGTGATCCAGAAGGATAGCTGATAATCTTGCAATAACGGTCTATATATCATAATATATATAAATCATAGCTGATAATCTTATAATAACAATCTATATATTATAACACATGAATCATAATTGTATTATATTTAGGAGAAGCAAATATATCAGTGTGTATGTTTTCCATGCGCCTATGAGCATGTATAGGCACATACATGGGTATTTCCAGTAGTGAACTTTGGAGGGCTAGAAGTGATACTTATATAAAAATATTGAGTTTGACTTTTGATACTCGTACTTTACTAGATCACATATTTCCAACGATATATAGTTTACTATGTAACACCAGAGGCCAAACTTTAATAGAAAATTAACATCTTTGTTTATAATACTTACAACAATGTGCCCAAAATCATGCCAGAAATGCCATAATATCCACCACCACATAATTCCTCCCATAACTTCAGCTGCATATACCCATGTCTTGTCTTCTGGTGGGATATCACGATATACTCCATGACTGATAAGAAAAAATACAGTAAATTATAATGATAACTTTGCAAAAATTACTTAATTACTATATAGGACATCCCTTTTAACAAGAGTTCTCATATGATAGTATAATGAGGTATAAAACCTATTTTTTGTTCCTGTATTGGACTGCACTAAAATTTATTTTCTTTCATTAAATTTCAAACATACATTTATTTCATTTTAAATACAATAAATATACATTATTTCACAGTTTTAAAAAACAAATCTAGACTTGATATTGAATAATAAGCAAAATAGTGGAACATAATCTATATAATAAACTATAATAATCACTTTATAGAAAAGAATTAAGTTATATAACATATTCCTTTTGACAGGAGCTCTTATATGATCACGTAATGAGATGTACTTGATCTATTGAATAATAACAGCAAAATATTAGAGACCTAACCTAACACAGAGTTATATAATAATTTTATTTACCCATGAGACAATCTAACGGGACGAAGATTCGTCGCCGCATTTATGCCGATTTTACTTTGATTACTTCTATATACAATTTTTAATAAGTTCAATCCTCGTGAAGTAATCATCGTTACTAAATTGTTACCACCAAATGATCCTCATGAAGTTGCACGAGCCACACTTCTGAAAGGTTATGCATTCGATAGCTCGAAAATCGCAATGTCAATAGATGTCGCGATCAGTTATGTCGCGATGTCGTGGAGTATTCAAGCTGTCGACTTATTTTTTTGCAGTTATTATCGTCCAAAAGTAAATCGTAATGCGCGTAAAGATAGTGAAAAGATTTTTTTAATTTCAAAGTTTTTTGATATTTGAACTTTGATTCATATAAAGAGAATAAAAGGTATAAATTTTAAATCACGAATTATTCTCTGCTATAATTTAAATTATATAAGAAAATAATTTGTTTTTAATTAATTAAAGCAAAGAATATGATAAATATGCAGATAAAGTTATCATTAAATTATCGTTTTCTATCTTATCTTATCTTTTTTAATTTTTGGCTGACGTCAAAAATGGAAAATAAAGAAACGGGATTTGAACAACTTTTTTTTTTCAGAATATATTTTACGCATGAAAATAGACAGAAATTTATAAAATTACAAGAAAATCAGAAGAGTCTTATACTCCATATTTACCCTATAAAATATCAAATGTTTGTTGTAATGCATTAAATGTCGTACATAATTGCTGTTATCCCTTATAGAAATTTAATAATGGAAGATATTGATTAATTATAATTAATCAATATCTAAAGAAACAACAGTGTTTTTAATATTCAAAATAAGTAATTTTCAGTATTATATTGGCCAGTATTAAATTAAATTTCTGTAAGAGACGTCATCATTTGAATTTCGGTATTGGCAGTTTAATATTATTTATGCACCTATGATCCATCAAAATTATTCTCACATTTGAGTTGGAACTTTAATTAAGAAATTTTAATTATAAAAATACAATGTACAGCATCGGAAGCGCTAAAAAAAGTGTCAGCCAATTGGCATGTTATGCGCTGGTACAGTATTTATTGCATAGATGCAATAGTTTTATCAAGTGAACTTCGTGTAATCGTAGAATTAGTATCTCGAGTAGCACAAATTAATCGGCGAATCATCGCCAACGTCGCACCAACAGTGGCTAACGTCTAGCTAACATTCTACCAACTAATAGTGCTGCTCGAGATGTTAAATGTTCTTTATATTATACACATACGAGTTAAATAAATTGTGCCGTCTTTAAACACATCATAAATGAAAAAACTTAACTATATAGTAATCGGCAGTCACTGCGTTTAATGTAATCGTTGAGTTTATAGAGTTAATGTATAAATTATTTAAAATATATAATAATTATTATTTTTTAGTAATTATTATTTCAGCAGTAATTATTTTTTAGTAGGTCATTAGGCAATTATCAGCAGGTTTACATAGCTATGATTACTATAATTAATTCAATAGATTAAAAATATGAAATCTGTATTTGATGTTTGATGATGATGCTATATTTATAAAAGTATGAATTAAGTTAAAAGCTTTTTTTAACATTTTTGTTGTTATACCTTTTTAGATTAAAGTATATGATAATATCTAGTTATGAATTCAGATGTTGTAATTAATACTATAATCATTTACGGTTACAAAAACCTTATTTTATTTTCTTCAAGATTTTCTCAAATGTTTTATTTGTATATATTCTATATTTATTTAATTCTATATCTATATTTAAATTATAATTTTAAAAATAATTATTTTGTAGTTTTTAGCTTGATTTAGCTTCTAATCAAGATTCTACGCGCATCCTAACAAAAAATATGTAATTGCTATTTTTAATAATACTTCTAAGGCTTCCGCGGTTAAAAGTTTAATACATTTACGGGTATTATTCATATTGTTATACATTGTTATATCTTCATCCTGATGATTAAATAATTTACAATGTTCAGGAAACATTGACATTTAACGATGTATCATGGCACGGATAATATTGGTAAGCGTATTAATCTTTTTGCAATTGTTATTAATTTATTATTAAAAATACATTTTGTCCGCAGGAAATTTAAATATGTTTTAAAGTGATTATCAGATATATAATTGCGTAAAAAATCGTCATTTATTTACCTTATATTTGATCTCTATACAGGGTGTTCCCAAAAAAATGGCCAAGCGGTCATATGCAGAGCATTAATAATTTATTAACTATTGCGAAAATCGCAAAATAGTACAGGACTTTTCGACTCAGTTTAGTCTGCTCTGCCTGCATATGACCGCTTGGCCATTTTTTTTTGGAGGGAGGGACATTCTGTATATCTCAGATATATTATATTATATTATAGTATTTTTTCTCGAGTGTATCTAAAATGTAATGAATATCACAATTACCATGCTTATTTGCTATTATCAAAAGATATATGAATATATTATTTTTGCCAAGAATGTCAAAAATTATATCGATTATTTGTTCTATTAATAATATCAAAATATCTTTTATATGTTTATTATGTGTGAATTAATCCATTAATCCGATTACATTATTATTATTAATGGTAGATTTCAATCGACATAGTTTTCATCAGACACTGACGTTGATGATACAATTGAGAGAATGGCAATGATACGATATTCTGATACATTCACTTATTTATTTGTATATCATAAAACGATGCCGTAAAAAAACACACACAAAAAATTAACACTTATCTTTCCTTTAAAACGTATATAAATTTTAGAATAATTGCGCTTTTTATATTAGTGAATTTTATTTTTAAAATACAGCATTTAGAGCGATAAGAAAAAAGTTACCAAGCATTCCTTCCATTTTGTTCTTCCTTTACGAGATTAATTTACGGCAGCTTAACATTCGATGGAAGTCGTAGAAGTATATCAGCCGCGGAATGTTCGCCATTATCCGCGGTACGACTAAAACTCGGGGAGCAAAGGGGCGCACTCGTATGTTAGGGGAGCGTTGTGACTCGCTGCTATTGGCCGAGCAAACGCTTTTACAAGCTGCAGCGAGGCATTTGATCTCCTGGTAGCAACCCTCCCGAGACTTATTCCGCATTGGTGCTTCAGTCATAACGTGGCCCCCGGTCGTACCTAATAATATGTTTTATAGAGGCCGTCATCCAGTATCTTTCTCCGAGAAATGAGCTCTTAACCGTAGATACGAAACACTCGTGTAACCTAAAACAAAATTGTCTTGGCGAAAATGTATGGAACAAAATATATAATATAAATTTAAATAATAAAACATTAACATTTTTTTTATTCCGTGAAAACAAAAGACGGAACGTTATTTTATAAAATATTTCTTTATTACATAATATTATGTAATCTTTGTACATATACATATACATATATGTGATACATATTACGTCATTTTTTATTATTATATATATTTTTAACATTTTTAATATTTTTATCATGTTGTTATACATATTAATGATATTGATAATAATTAACGTAAAAGAAACGAACGCAATTTATATTTATAAATATCTAGACGTAGATATAATATTATTTTTCTGAATAATAAATTATTAACTAGAATATTATCACATTTATACTCACAATAAACATATTGTTGCATTTATATAAGTTCTGTTTAATTTCTTAGTTAGAATTATAACACTGAATTATAACTTTTTAGAATTATAACTTTGCATTATTTTTTTCAATTAAATGAAAAAAATCATAAAATATTAAGTTAAGCAAATAAATTGTCCGTAAAATATTATTCATAATTAATTATATATATTTATTTACAAAATATAAATATAATCTAATTCTCTTATCTCTCTTTTAAACAAGCAGATAATGATATCCATAAACATATTGGCAAAGAAAAATTAATTTAAACTTTGTTAAATTTTGTATTAATTTGTACAATTGCGACATTCTGTACACATAAAATAGATCGGTATAAAGTATAAAAATAATTATATATATTTATAATAAGAATTGTAAATATTTCTAATATTTTTTTTTAGTTAGATCTTTTCAGTTGTTTGCAAAAAAAGATTAAGTCTTTAGAGTTCTTATTATTAAACGATATAACGATATATAACTGATCTTTTAAAACTCATTCGAGCGAATTTTGCGTCAAATATACGTTTGTTATTACGTCCGCAGCGATCACTAACGTTGTCATTTAACGCGCGTTTCGCGAGGAAGTCGCGCTCGGCAATAAACAACGCCGTTTAATAAAATAGGCTTTATTCAAATTAATCAACAACAACAATTTTGCGGACACACGTCTGTACGCCACGAGTCACCGCGCCGTAAATCTGTAAACAACACAACCGTTGCCCCGGAGAGCCCTTCACTTCTATTCCAAACGGCGGCTCGACCTCACTCGGCCGCAGAATACTCGCGCGCGGGCATAACAATATTATAAGTCAAAGAGGATAATTTTTTAGGATTTATTTTTAGAATGAAAGTTTAAAAATTGAAAAATGCAATACATTAAATAAAAAACTGTAAGATATTATTCCTTCTTAATCTATTATTATGCCAAAATCGCGTTTAAAAATGATATTACAAAATTTAAATGATTTAAAATATTTAAGCTTTTCGTTCAATATATTGAATTCTTATCTACTTCAAATTTATTTTCTAGAGATCTTTGGTTTCTGAGTTGTGTCGTTATTGTAACAAATGAGCGATATACATTAGCTTTTTTCGACACACAACATTTTTGATTTAAATTATAACTTTTAATTAATATTTAATTAATATCAATGTGCGTAATGTGATATAGTTTACCATAATGTAATATTTTTCATAAATCTTTCTCTCTTGTAGTTATGTATACATAAAATTGATATCAGAATAAAATAAATTAAAGGTTTTTATAATGCAATAATAAGGAATGTAAACTGTAAATGCCGGATATCATATGCAATATTTATATTATAAAACAATACAAATTATACAATTAATTAAATAGTTGGAAAAAGCAAACGTTTCAACCCTAATAGGGTCATCTTCAGTGCCGCTCAAGGCTTTTAAAAATAAATCGAAAAATAAAATTAATACCAATAAAAACTAATATCAGACATAAAATATACATTTAAAAATTAATAAATCGCTTCAATCCTAAATAGAATTTTTTTTGGTACAAATTAATTACAATGCAAATAGAATACGTAAAATAAATT